TATATTATTTAGGTTGGATATTTTGTTCTTAGAGTTGGGTATCGTCTGGGAGTCAACTCTAGGGGTATAGTGGTCTTTCCCCAATTTTACAGTCGCCTCTCTCACATCTGGCTTCAACTAGAGAGAGAGGGAGAAGAACAAAACTTCACCGGTCACAACCGCCTGGTTCTTACCTTTCTTAAAGATGTTACTGTACACACACACACACACACAGAGATGTTTAGCTAGTCCAAGATTCTTCCTAATCATACACGTAAGCACGCACGCACGCACGCACGCACAATATTGATAGCATGGCTTTTGTCAACAGAAATACACATATAAGCTCGTCACTTCAAGTGGGCGTCTGGTAATTTCGGCTGTCAAATTCTTCTACCTCTAGGGTTAGGTTTTTCCCCCTTTACGTTTTAATTTCTATACGTAATGAATCTGAGTTGGGTTTTGGTGCGAGGTTCATTTTGAATTCGATTCGCTGTTTGATTGGTGAATTCTTGGATTTTTCCAGGAGTCTCCCTCTGTTGCTTGATTAACATTTCTGGGCTTTTCTGTAAACTTAAAACGTTGTATCTGTTCGCCGCGAAATTTTTTGATACTCCGAGGTCAGTTCCAATATATATATATATATATATATATATATAGTTCGAATTATAAATTTATGTATACACGAATGTTTACGTATCCACGTTCTTGTGTCTATCTCAGGGCTTCTATCTGTTTTGAAGTGGATTGGGAAATTGGGTGGAAGAATTGGGGCTTAAGGGTAATTTAGGTGAATATGTTACCCAGGAACTGTGTAGTTTATAAAGAATTGAGGGGAAATTTGAGTTCAATTGTAACAGTTCTCTAACGGTTGACCCTTTAAAGAATTTGGGATATTATTCCTTCCGGGGTTTTAAGATTGGATGGAGTACCCTTTTTGGAGTAAAGAAAATGGTACTGGTTATTGGGTCATGCCAAGTGGTCAGATGGAGGGTATGGCTGTGCAGTTGATGGATAATGATGAGAGGTCCTCTAATTCAAAGGACTCGTTAACTAATGTTGCAGAATTGATGAATTTTGATGCATATGCTGGATGGTGCAACAACCCCGGTAATGCAAGGGATCACATGTTTCCCTCTTTTGCCATGTCACCTATGAGTTCAACATCTACAAATTTCTCACCCTTTGATGGAATAGAAAACTATAATTTAGGAGTTTCCATGGCAGAAGGTGGTATGATTGGAACTACGTTCAGTGAGGGAGCTAAAATGATGTTTCAGCAAATGGACAGCCAATTGTGTTTTCCTATGGATTCTACAGATTATGGGGTCAATGTGACTAATAATCGAGATAAGAGCTTGAACCAAAGAACTGCAGCTACTGATGTAGAAAACATTGCAATCCCAAGGACTCCAACTCCATTAATGGCTGAAAAGATGCTCAGAGCATTAAATTTATTTAAAGAGTGGTCTGAAGGCGGTATTCTTGCCCAAGTTTGGGTTCCAATTAAGAATGGAGATCAATACATCTTGAGCACTTCTGAACAACCTTATTTACTCGACCAAACTCTCTCTGGATATCGTGAAGTGTCCAGATTATTTACTTTTGCAACAGAATCAAAACCAGGTTCTTTCCCAGGGCTTCCTGGCCGTGTATTTACCTCGAAAATTCCAGAATGGACTTCAAATGTGATGTACTACAATAAGGCTGAGTACTTGCGGGTACAACATGCAATTCATCACGAAGTCCGTGGATCTATTGCTCTGCCCGTGTTTGAGGATGATTCTCATGATGCGTCATGTTGTGCAGTGCTTGAACTGGTTACAATGAAGGAGAAACCCAATTTTGATTCAGAGATGGAAAATGTTTGTCGTGCCCTCCAGGTTAGTTTTCTTAATTTATAGTTGTTTTTCATTTTTCTTAATTTCTTTAAGTAATTCTTTAGTGATATTGCTGTGTAAAGTTTTGCTACATGTTTTCAGGGGCTTGTTAAATAGATCATCAGTTGTTTTTTTTTTAATGTCTGTTTAGTGTTCACAAAAGTGATGATAGCATTTGTTTGACCCCACCTCTAACCCCCACCAAGAAATTGTTGGCGTAAGAGTTGTTTGCACGAGATTTCTTCACTAATGAAAACAATATTTGCCGACTTGTTAGTTGCTCTTTCTAACCTTCGGCTCTAAACATGTTCAGGCAGTGAAGCTAAGGAGCACTGTACCACCTAAACTTCATTCCCAGGTCTGATTGAACTTTTGGTTTGATCTTCTTATATCGTTTATGAATAAGAACAACTGCAATTTGTTTTCTTGAATGCATGTATAATCCCTTTTTTGAACCATATGTTAATTTTCAGTGCCTCACCCAGAATCAAAGGGCAGCTTTAGCTGAGATCACAGATGTTTTAAGAGCTGTTTGCCATGCACATAGGTTACCTCTTGCACTCACATGGATTCCTTGCAGTTACACAGCGGGGGTTGGAGAAGATACTATAAAAATAAGCAGTCGGGGATGTAATTCGTATTATGACGAAAGATGTTTACTATGCATTGAGAAGACTGCTTGTTATGTGAATGACAATGGCATGAACGGATTTGTGCATGCATGTGCAGAGCATTATCTTGAGGAAGGACAAGGTATTGCTGGGAAAGCTCTTCAATCAAATCACCCCTTCTTTTACCCTGATGTTAAGGAATACCATATAAGTGACTATCCACTTGTTCATCATGCTCGCAAATTTGGTCTAAATGCTGCTGTTGCAATCAAGCTAAGAAGCACATATACTGGGGATGCTGACTTTATACTAGAGTTCTTTCTTCCTGTTGATATGAGAAGGAGTACAGAACAAGATCTCTTGCTAAACAACCTCTCAAGTACCATGCAAAGGATCTGTAGAAGTTTAAGGACAGTCTCAGATGCAGAACTACTTGGGGGAGAGGATTCCAAGGTTGGTTTACTGGATGGGGAAGCCCAAAACACATCACCAATTGCATTGTCCAGGGGAAGCTCTCAACAATCGCTTATAAATAGCAATTTAGACTCCAATCGGGATATCCTGAATGTTTCTGATGTAAAAACTCCTGATGAGATGGAAGCTCACAGTGCTCATAAACAGGTACTTGTACATTTAATTTGTTACTTTTATGTTAACAAATCTCACACCTTTTCTTTTGGATAAGTTACCTCTCATAGTTGTCCCTTAGCATTTATATTGGATCATTTGTTCAAGTATTTTTACATTAGCATGATGACGTTTCATATTATCAAAAAGAACCATGCTTGGTAAACTAACGTGGATGGCATAGGGTAAATATACGATAATCACTCAGGTGTTCAAAGAATCCCTTAGACCAAATTTCTAAATACAGAAAGCATTGTGAGCTTATTTTTCCTTTCAAACAAATAATTGATAAGTACATATAACATTAATCAAATTAACTTGAAATGGTAAATTAAGGTAACAAGAATGTCTAGTTTGAAATATCATATTTGCTCTGGTGTTCCAATATTTTGATAGAATATTTTGCAATTTGGGTGTTTATTTTTCTTATACCGGTTTTTCATTTTTTAGAGTTAAATGTTCTGTATCCCCTTAGTCTAATGTCTTCATTGGCTAGCGGAATTGAGCTGTATTATTGCTTAAAATTACTGTAGAGGATGGCTACATCAAGGAGGCAGACAGAGAAGAAACGTAGCACAGCCGAGAAACATGTCAGTTTAAGTGTTCTTCAGCAATACTTTTCTGGGAGCCTTAAGGATGCAGCAAAAAGCATTGGTGGTAAATATTCATTTATAATTTTCTAAGAATTACGTCAATTGCAACCTGTTGCATTGCTTGAGCCAAAAGTATTACACACACATTCCGTTATTATTGAATGCTATTCTGAATTTATCATCAGTTTTGCATTCCCCTTTGTGAACATTTTTTGAGTATGCATATTCATTTACAGAATTGGACACAAGATTTGCTAAGTTGGTATGCAAAGATTTCAATTACCATAGATCACTAATATGCATCAGTGCAGAAATGCTAAATTAATTATGTTAATAATGATTTTGTATTTATACCAGAGTTTCAATTCCACCATTATTTGTAACTTTTGGGGTTCCAAAGAACCATTTGTTTACAACTTACTCTTGTTGCTAAGGTTTGTTGATTCATTTTTGGGGAAGCGTACAGTTGGAGTAATTAGCTGAAACCAGAAGAAAACTGGTAACCCAGTGATAAGAACTGCATAATTTTGAAAATATGATTTTGAGATAAAAGAGGAAAACCTTTCGAATAATATTTTTATGAGATGTGGCTTATCTGGGATGTGATATTGTTTTGAGAACTCTTTAAGGATGGCTTAATATTCGTGTTTTGTGTCTTTGTAGTATGTCCTACCACTCTCAAGAGGATATGTAGACAACATGGCATCTCAAGGTGGCCATCTCGCAAAATAAACAAAGTGAATCGTTCTTTGAAGAAAATACAATGTGTGCTCAACTCTGTTCAGGGCATGGAGGCAACATTGAAGTTTGATTCAATTACGGGAGGTCTCGTGGCTGCTGGCTCTACCAACCAAGAGTTTGAACCAAAAAAGTGTTCTCTTATCCCCGGTATTAATCATCATGTTACACACCCTGATGCTGTTCCCCACTACACGATCTCAGCACCTCCGACATCTTGCAAGACCAGCACTGTGAAAAGGGAGGAGTCTTTTGTGGATGGAAATGAAATGACTGGAATAAATGCTGTCAGTCCTAATTCGAGTAGTGGGGAGTGCATTTCGAATGTGATCCCAAAAAACTGTAATGAGTCCGAACTATGCACTATGCCTTGGGTCACTTCTGCAAAGGCTCCCCAAGGTTCTTTTCTTGCTAGAGAAGAATTCCCTAAATGGGAGCTGAATAACAGTGTCAACCTAGATGCCCCTGAAGCTCATTTTGTTTCTCAAAACTCAATCTCCATGGCTGCTGCTGATGAGATCGACACTAAATGGAAAGGTGATGATGCAGTTACGGAATATATCCAACCGACTTCCCCAGGCAGGACCGACTCATCCAATGGGTCCAGGTCAACGATGAATGTCAGTTCATCTAGCTCAGGAAGTTTTTGCGAAAGGAAGCATTCAAAGACTGAGGCAAGATGTGGAGACAATAGTTCAAAAATTACAGTGAAAGCTGCTTATAAGGAAGATACAGTCCGGTTTAAATTTGAGCCTACTGCAGGGTGTTTTCAACTCTATGAAGAGGTAGCAAAGAGGTTTAAACTGAAAATGGGGGAATTCCAACTCAAGTATCTTGATGATGAAGAGGAATGGGTGATGTTGGTAAACGACTCGGACTTGCAGGAATGCCTCGAAATTCTGGATTTTGTTGGCAGTCGCACAGTTAAGTTTCTCGTTCGTGATTTGCCTTGTGTTATCAGTAGCTCAGGTAGCAGCAATTGCTACTTGACTGGAAGCTCTTGATAATCCATCTTCATATAACCATAGGAGCAATGGAATCACCTGGTGGTGTTTTATCATTGCTAATGGAATTTTTCTTCTGCTAGTATGGTTCCTGCAAGAGAAGTTCAGTGAGAACAATATTAATATGATGCATGGAAGTTGTTTGATGGTGCCTGTTTCTGTTATATATTGAATTTATTGATTAATGTAAATGTTAGAAGCTTTATGAATGTTGCAGTTGTTGCAAGCACTCGTAGTCTGTATAGTAGTTTCGTATAATTACAGTATGAAAACGTTAGGATTCATTTTAAATTTAGTTGAGGTTTTCATTTAAAAAATGATTTTCATCTTCTCTAATTTACTACGCAGTTTCCCTTCATGCATTGTAATATGTATAATTGTCTGAATTGGGTTCATTTAGGGCATGTTTGACACACTGTATTAGATGTATAAAGATTAAAATAATTCAATCTTATCTTTATTTGACGTTTGGTATAATTAGTAACTTGATTAAAAAAAATTGGGGTGCTTATTCTCATTTATTCAACCTTATAAAATTAATATGTCATGTAGGATGAGTATTTAAGAATTTCATTGGTAAGTAAAAATAATAATTTTTACCTAAAAATTAAAGTTATAAGAAAATATTTAATTGTGAAAAATTCATTTTTAATTGAAAACTTGAGCATAATTTAAAAGTAAATTATAACTAAATAAGTTATATATGAGTTAAAAATTACTTAAGAAATTAACTTAAAAGTTATAAAAATGCTTATATAAGAAGAAAAATCACTTATAAGTTAAAATTAAATTTATTAGTAAAAGGTCACGTATAAGACATAAGTCCACTTATATGTAAAAAATCGCCTATAAGTAAAAATACTATTTTAAATAAAAAAATTCGATTGCAAATTAAAAAATTTACTTACAAGCAAAAAATTCAATTATGAGAAAAAAATTCAATTTTATGAAAAAAATTGTTCAGAAGTAAAAAATACTACTTATGACCAAAAAAAATTCAATTGTGAGTATACAATTATTTTGTAACTAAAATATCGACAAAAAATCACTTTATGTAAAAAATTCTTTCTAAATTGTGACACGCATTAATGAAAATCCTTATTTTGGACACGCATGGTTCAAAATGGGAAGTCAATGTAAATTCTTCATTTTCGTTGCTCTTCTTCACCAGATTGAGTTTGAGACCTAGAGGGGACCGCTTCCATGATCAACATGTTACTTACGAGTTTATCCAGTTCCTCCTTCAACACATTGTACATTTCAATATTGAGTGCCCAAATCTTCTGAATTTTTGGGCAAAACTTGGGATTGACCCGTAAAACATGGTTTGTTATCGTTCGATCAATGTCCACCGTGTCTGAATGCCTTCCGGCAAAGCCATCAAGGTTGGACAACTATAATTCCTTTTTCTTCACCTTTATTCCTCTCGTCAAGCCACTTCTAATTTGCAATACATTCAGCTCTTTGTTGGGATAGAGGGGCCTTAAATTAAATCCCCATGATGCAAGGGTCGATGCTGTCGTCGAGGATTGTCCCATCATCACCTTCTTTATCTTTCGAGCTTCTTCCATGGCTATGTCCACCATCATGACCGTATTCTCTGACCAATCATCCTTTACTCCTTTGCGACGTTACTTTCCTCTAGGAGATCTGTAAGGAAAATAAATTGAAACGGAAGCTTAAATCAGATTCATCAACAAATCTGAAACCATCAATCGATCCATCATTCACTCAAGATAGGGCTCAGAATACATTGTACCTGTCTGTATTGAAACAGCCACAAGAAAATACCAAAACCCCTAATTTACTTCCACTATAGCTACTCAATAGACCGAAGACACACAACCACAATCAAGCCTAAAATACTTTCTCTCCTGAAGAACCACAGAGGCAGACAATTACTAAGATTGAAGATTAAAACCTTGGTTTTAATCATACACAAAGAATCACAAAGAAACGAGAAGAGCAAACCGAAATCACGAAGAACAGGAAACACCAGAGGTTTCCCCAACACAAAAGAGAAAACCGTAATGACCAAAAACCTTCTCAGATAGACGGTTCAAATGGTGTATATCCATTAGAATCGGCCATTGATCAGCCATGGAATCAACGGCCTAGAGCAACACAAGTGGCAAGATAAGTGGGTTGGTTTCTTGGGCCGGTTTCAATGAGTTATTGGGCAATGGCAAAACATTCCAATAATGGGCTAAGCCCAATTCATCGTTGCCCCAAGGTTGAAATGCAAATGTCACAAATGACATCACAATCCAACAAATCTCCCCCTTGATGCCAATGCCATAAACCACCAAACACATTAGTGTTTCATAGCACCAACACCAAGAAGGTTACCACCTGCAAGAAAAACAAAATTCACCTAGAATCAATTCTTAGAATTTGTAAACAAGATTTAAACTTGGAAAGAGGAAGTAC